TATGTTGTATGTATGTATGTATATGTGTGTGTGTGTGTGTGTGTGTGTGTGTGTGGTGTGTGTGTATTTTACACAAAATTAATTAAGAGTTTTATAATAGTGTGATAATCAAAATAAAGAAAGAAACCAATCAAAAGAAAGAAACCAAACGAGTCAATATTCTCGACTCTATATGTATTTGTGTTGTAGATACTTTAACTAAAAAAAACTAAAAACTTCATGAGGATAATTTTTCATATAAAGATCATTACCAGCACTGTGTTTACTCGCTTGAAAGTATCGCGTTCTTGCACTGTCCATATCCAAAATGAGACGCGCTAGATTTCTCTTATGCTTCAATATATTTGGTACATCAGTGTCTAAAATATGTTGCAGAGGGGCAGCTACATATTGCTCAACTTTAGCCTCATGTTCCATGGCCTCGTTAGCCAATGACATCTGCACTCGTCCACATTCTACCAATGCGAAACTCATGAGGCCATCCTCACCGGCATTCTCTAACATGGTTTGCCCAAGTATGTACTCGGGACATTTTTTCTGAGGAACAAAAGTTCAATAAAGTGTTTATCGATTGTTCAATAACTTTAGTAATGGATACAGCTGTCAACAGCCTCGCATATCATAAAAAAAGTATTGGTATACAGATTTTCGATTAAATATATATCAAATTTTACTCCTAATAACAATCTGTATCCTTGAATGTTGGCTTGTTTATTTACCAAACGTTTCTCCTTAAGAGCTGGATCTTGGGTGATGGTTTGATTCGGTGGATTTCCCAGTCTCTTGCTGAGACCAGTGAGAGCTGCTCTAATCTGTTCAACATGCTTATCGGCAGCCACCAAGTCATCTGTCAACACTTCTGTTCTACCAGCTCTGTTTATATGAAAAAAATGAACTTTCATAGATATTGTACATTTGATAACAAGAAAATCTTATCTTTTATCTTTCGCAATCTGTTTTATCACCCTTAATCTTCCCAATATCCATATTGAAACCTATTTTAAAATATTTTGATTGAGAATTTATTTCAATGGAACATACTTTTTACAAGAGAAGAAGTGAGATCTGTTTATGATTTTGATATATTATTCTCAACAAGAACAGATATCTGCTACTTAAAGTTCACTTCCTTTTGATAATTAAATAAATTGTACATCAACTCTTTTTATCATTAGCCATGCTCTCCATGGGAAACGATGTACATCTTAGATAGGTATGCACCAAAATTCACTTCCTTCTTGTAATTACAACATCAATATCAAATAATCTCAGCAATGAACAAATTATTTCACATAGTGATCTTTCAATTATCAAAATTATCGCCATTCATAGACACTTGACATGAACAAAGAAAATAAAAAATGAAAATACTCGATATACAGCATAGATATACGGGTTAAAATTAGAAGGAAAACAATCGTGCGGGGACTGGCAGTTCCGGACAGTTCAGCTACCTGGAGAAGGTTTGGTCCGCGAGCTGTTTCACCCGGAAAAACTGCTTCTTCATGGTTGGTTGGGGGCGGCCGACACTTGGGCAAAATCACGGCAAATCTAATGTCCGGATTCGACGCGCAGGCTTCGCGCGCGCGCGGTCTCTTTCCTCCTTTTTTTCTTTCTACGCACCGATGCCTCTCGTCTCGCATTCACGCATCCTCCACGGCGACACCCTGGCCGTGTTCGCACGGCACCAGCGGCAGAGCGCGGGGAAGACGGGACGGATCCTTCGTGTCGCGGCAAGGGCGAGTATCCGTCATAATGTTTGCACGATGATCTCACGGCCGGCGCTGAGAATCGATGCACTCGCGGTCGATCGGTTCTCGCGCAGCATCGATAAGGCCCGACGATAAAAGTCCGGGCCAGCGCCTCCTCGCCCGGTCACACCGATCGCGCGCGATTTGGGTTAGGTGAACGAATTCAGCGGATCCAACTTTGCCGTGCCTCCTCCCTCCACCCGGCCGCCACTCTCACTCTTCTTCCTTTTTCCTCTTTTCCGTGATATTCCTTTTCTCTTTTTCTCTGGATTACGGAAAACGAGTTCGTTCGCGAGGTTCGGCGGGAACCCGTTCCGATCCCGGCGACGTTAACGGACACATACGAGTATCCGTTCCGTGAGACTTTTCGTGATGCTCTCTCTTACGTCACGTAAGTCAAACGTTTTAAGCGTCCTCTTCGTCGAGAAACGCGGGCGAGTCGCGTTTTACCTGGATACCCGCGCGACCGATCTGAACTGATCGCGAATCGCTGTTTTTTCGGCTTTTTGACAACACGCTCTTTCTCTCCTTCCGTCCTCGGTCGTTGGAACTTTTCGTGTCGTAACTCTCTCCCGATGTCGTGTGACAGCACTGGACAGCACGGTTGATAGATCCGTTAAACCCGCGCAAAAGTCGCTCGTTTCCTCGCCCCTGAGATCCGAGACTCGCCCATGATCGATCGTTCGCGCGACTCGCGATATCTCAAATCGAGAATGACAATCGATAAATTTCGTGCGATTCGCCGCTAACTTCGCGCCACGCCAGTTTTTTTTATAAGCAGCTGTACGGTGCTGTCGCTCTCAGTCGCGTGGTAGCCTTGTTCATCTCGAGACGCGGCGACCAGCTGTCAGCTGGTGATATCGCAACTAGTCGACGAGTAATTCAGATCCGCGCGCGAAACGCGAATCCACTCTCCGTGTGGTGACCCCACGACTGGTATTTCACTTCAGCGTCACGAGATCGTCCCACAACTGCGATCATGGATCGAAGCTTTTTGAACGTCATGATTCTCAGCTGGGGATTCATGCTGGTGTTCACGGCGTTTCAAACGATGGGCAACATAGAGGTGAGCGACGGCGCACGTGATTGTTATTATCGATGTTAACATCGTTATTACCTATGGGACACGCTTCCGTCTGCTTGCTCGCGCGCGCGCACGCTTCGCGATTCATAAACAACTTCCTGTTTCGAGAGAATTATTTCCGTCAAAGCGAGAGAAATTAGATTTCACGCTTGAATGGAAATAAGCGCGCGAGCGTCATTTTTTCAAAAGGTGCTGGAAGATGCTTCGAAGTTTCTTCGAAACGAGCCTCATTTTAAAGTGATTCGTATAGCCCGATAAAAAATTTTTCCTATATAATTATATACATATAGGAGATATATGTATCCATATATAAAAATATATAATTACATATGATTGTATATAAGTATATATTAATACATATGTTTATAATCGTACATAACTCATATGTACCTATACATATTTATATATAATGACATGTACGTTTCACCATTTTATATATCATTATATATACCTAATTATATATGGAAAATTTTTTTTACAAGGAGTCCTTATGTTTCACGCGAGCGCTATTTACGCGTTACGTTCGATGACCATTACATTCATTGCGAATCGGAAATTTCTTTGATTTATCGTATAATACACGTGAAATGTTGCTTGCGAGATTAAGAACAATCTCCTTCGTTACGCAACGGTTGACGAAATACAGCTTTATAATTTTATCCGCATTACAGAAACGCGCGATTAAATACGTTGGAAGGGAGCGAAGGGGAGTACGTTTCTCATCTTAATTATTTTAGAGAATCGAAATCCATCATTTTTTAAAAAACTTATAAAATTGCGTATCGTATTATTTGAATTGAAAACTAATACAAATTGAAATATTCTTTAAATAAATAAATTTATAGTTGAAATTTTTATAGCTTTGAAATAATGCAATTTTCTAATTCCTAATGTTTGGCATGGTAAAATGTTATTTATAACGTAATGCTCATTCCGTCTGACATGGGCACTCTCGAGTAACGACACGATTGGATTAATACTCGACGATCAGCATTGAGATTTCTTTCTTTTTTTTTTAGCCCGAAGTGAAGGAATTGTAACATTTAAGCATTCAAGCGCGAGCGATTCGTTTGAGTTATTTTTGGTTTTCTGCAATTATTTATTATCTTGACTGAAGACGGAAACATGGAAAACGAGATAGAACGAGCGGGCCCTTTAATTTCAAGAAACGGAATGAACGAATGAATCTAATTAGATATAAAATGTTTGATTCCCCTTTACATTTCTACCATGACGCGAAATGAAACATTCGTGTTAGTCTGTAAAGTTCTAGAAAGTACGAATATGGGATATCATGTGGTTAGTCGTGCGATTTAGAAAGTGCTACAAAAGGCAAAGAGTTAACTAATCACGATCGCCAATCGGCCGCACGAAGCTGGAACGCCTCTAAATTATGCGATATCATTATCGACTGCTTTCGATATTGCGAAATATGCCATCTGCGACGTACGCATTATATACGCTACAGAGCTTTTTCCCAAGGATCGTACCTGGATGTAAAAAAATCTCTATTTGAATGAAAAAAAATCTCGGGATAATTGAAGACAATCCTTTTCCATAGAGTATTATAATAACAAGAGAGAGAGAGAGAGAGAGAGAGAGAGAGAGCATGTTCAAATCTTGTTGCTAAAAGCACTTCTCTTTTCGTTTGTCTTTCTTTTATTTGATAAATAAATCTGTTCACATCTATGTTTCACATCTATGTTTCTATCGCTAGATTATATTACATCTAAGGTTATATCTCAGGTTTTATCAATTTTTTTTCTCTGTCTTTTGCGTCTTAATATTTCATAATTGTTGCACTATCTCGTTTGCGCGATCTAAAATCGTTTCAATATTATTTCAGGATAATTTTTATTACACGACAAAAATTTTCGTCGACGCACAATTCTCTTGTATGTTTTCTTTCTTTTTTTTGTTTCTCTTTACGTATGATCTTCTGAACTTACTTTAAAACGTTATCTGGGAGGAAATTACATAATGTATTCCACGGTAATCTGCGAGTAATGCGCGAGAATCGTGTTCTGACTAAACCGCCTGGTAATATCTGTCAGTTATTTTACCGCTGTTATCTACGTAATACAGAAGTATCGCCGGATACGCGATATCGGCGATTTTTGTAACAAGCGCACGAGAAATAATTGATCGCGGCTGCCTGCGCGGTACAACGATCTTTGTTTGCGCGCAAAATTCACCGGCCGCCGACGTCTGATTAGCGTACAAAAGTCTCAGATTAGGTGATGATATTCCGCAGTGGCGTAGCTTAAGTCGCTGGCGAAGCATCCATGATGATATTTCCGCACTTGGTTTTACAATGATATTTTTCCTCTGAAAGGCTTTTTTGCAAGAGAAAGCGAAATTGAGATGATCGGATGATTAATCGACATTTTTGCGCAATAAGTATCAATCACTTGCGAAGATTTTGAAGTTAAAATCCATGGATTTCTTCTTCGGAACGTCGTTTCGTAATCTCGTCAACCTTTTAAAATATTCATCTCGCTTAGTTTTTAGAATTTTCTTCCAATTAATAGCAATCTGAAAATAATTTGAAATTTAATATTCCCAATATTAAATTTTTTTATATAAATATCGAGAGAGATAAAGAGAGAGAACGTATGAAATAATAATTGATAGAAAAAATTACAAATAAGTAATATTCTAGCCGATTTTATCGGATTCCTCATCAAAGTTTTATAATCTTGTCGATAGCTTTAGTTTACGCGTTTTGTTTTAGTTTACGCGTCTTCTGTCAGCGATTCGAAAATAATTTGAAATTCAGTGTGTGTGTGTGTGTGTGTGTGTGTGTGTGGTGGGGTGGGGGGTGGGGGTGGGTGTGTGTGTGTGTGTCTGTGTGTGTCTTATCTGTCAATATTACATCCTTTTTGACATAGGAATCGAATTATATGGAAGAATAATTGATGAAAAAATTGCAGGTCTCTGTGCTAGTTACGAATCTTTGAGGTAAATAATTCTAGCCAACTTTATCAGATCCTTCAAAGTCAAAATTTTTATTTTACAACCATGTCGATAGCTTTATTTTGCACGTTTAATCGTAAAAAGTTCATCACGCCGATTACGTCAACGTCAACTCACTTTCGAGATCTGAGATATATTATTTCTCTCTTTTAAAGATCTTGGAGATATTGCCCGTTGATTGGAATTCCACGATTATACTATCGATATCTCTTACAATGTACACAAGATCCAATTTACCGTAATATTTGCACGCGATGATTAAATCGCACGCGCGTATTTAGGTCTTTTAACATCAACGTGATCGCGACCTTTTCGTCTTTTTATCTTATGAAAATAACGTTTCCATTGAAATGGATAATTGTTGATGGGGATGTTAATTTCGGGCCAGATTGCGGAATCGGGTCATTATCATGGAATAGAAATTGACGATTGTCCATTAATGACGTCGATACACTTATGTCAGTTATCTTAATCTTATCGGATCCGATTAAATTATGCAAAAGTCTAATCGAGGAGGAAAAAAAATTCCTTCTTTCAACGACATTGATCTCCATATCCTCGAAAGTCATTAATCTTTTATTCTTATATTTAATCAAAGCGAAGATTTGTTTCGAAATGTATTGGAGATTTTACAACCCTCCGGGGGAAGATGCGGAATCCTGTTTATCGTATCGAAATTCTGGGAAACAGAAACGTCACTTGGACCTCGCCACGGTGAAAGAGAAAGTTCGCCAATGCGAAATGCATCCTAGACGTGCTCGATAATTGTATCCGCCGAAACCTGTTCGAACCGACGCACAACCGGTTCCCTAACCGAATTCATTTTACGTTTGGTGCGCCCTTCGCTTTTCGTGTCGCAATTCGAGGATCGTAATGACTTCACGTTCTTGAAGAGGCCTCCCTCCCGCGATGAGTGGAATGCTATCGAGATAATCCATTATTTCAAAAGAGAACCCCGCGCTCGGAGAAATATCTAAAATAGAAAAACGCCTTGGTCAGTTGATGTGATTGCAGCACGACGCAGTCTCCTTTCACTTTTAAACTCGTGAACACGAGAGAAAGGGGGAGGAGACTCGACTAGATAATGTCAGTTATCTATGCGACGACGTAGTATGCTCGGAAATGAAATATACTCAAATAACTTGTGACTATTAATAGTATCGTTCATTCGCATTATACAATCGAAACATAAATAAATTGTCATTTTTTTATTATTCACTAATTTTTTTATTAATTTATTTTTATTATTTTGTTATTTGCAAAAGAGAAAACGATGCTTCGAAGGCTCTCTTATTATTGTGATGATGATACAACGATCTAATACAGCATCTAAAACTTTCGATAGGAAAAGAAAATTGTTTATCAAAAATATCATGAGTAAAAAAGATTACTTTTTAAGGATTTATTTTTATAATAGATAAGAATTCGATATACTCTGAATGAACAGTTGATAGTACTTTTGTTTCTTTATAATCAGTTATTACAACAAAATTACACTTAAAATGTATTAAAAAATTTGAATAATTCGATACATTTAAATTTATTTCTTGGAAAACCTTTTTTTAAAGTTATCATTGTAGCAAATGAGCGGTCTAAGTTTTATTTTAATTAATTGAAAAACATGTTGACTATTGGAATAAATACGTCCTCGTGTCTTCGATGTGTCAGCTATAATTAATATAATCACAATTAATATAATTAAAATAATGGAGGCAAATAATTTTTACAATGCCATAGTAAATGGTGTACAATGTATACTTTACTATGTGTAATACCAGCGTTGCCGGAAGAGATAAATAATTAATGAGACAAGGGATATTTGTAGAATATATACCATTTTACATTTATAATAACATTTTTACCTACAAAATTAAACGGAATAAACACTTTCACTTTTATTTTTCAACAACTCTGGAAAAATATAGATAATGATATTATGTAGAGGACTTGTCAAATATATGAAATATTTATTTCCACAAGCAAAATATTTGTAAATAAAAAGCACAATTTCAACAATTTTAAATTTTTGCAAAAAATATATATCAGAATACTTTGAAATTCAGAATTATTGAAATATTAATTAATTAATAATGTATTTTAGTAATGTATAAATTTTACTTATTCTTATTGGAATAAAGTTGTTTTATTAAAGTTGTTGGTACAAATAAATATTTTTAAATACAGATGTTTCTGACATGACAATCTTATTTTAAATTCTTTCGGATTTCTTTTTGTGCGAGATGGCATCGGCTTCAATAATGTAAAAGTTTTGTGAACATTTATCTGTACAATCTTGCAATACTATTGAAGATTTTATCGAATGCCGTTATCGATACGAATACTTGAAGATTTTTATGAAAACAAGGCTACAAAGACATTCGTCAGTTAGAAAACATATTAATACACCGAAAAAGCATACCTATTTATCATTATCGTTTACGTATTGACGATCGTTATCTTGACACAAAACAATTGTATTTACGCGAACACGATAAATATAATTAAACAGCAATCGGATAGCACTTGAAATGTTTTTAACTGAAAATATCTTAATTGAAAATTGATTAAAAGTTTAAAAATTATGTAATTCTGAAAATATATCAATATTTCTCCTGTTGCATGTTATAGAAATATTATTCTAAAGGCATCTACATATACATTATGACAAAATTGATAAAGATCATATTATTTTTTCTTTTTTGACGTCAGAATTTAGTTGAACTTGGGGCTCGTAATGACGCTAATGTTGCGCGCAATAGAAGATAAAGATGTTATATAATAAAAAACGATACTATTACTGATAATTTTCAAGCGGGGAAGAAATCTCGTTGATTTTAAAGTAGTTGACGACAGATTTGGAAATACGACATAAATAAACTGCTATACTTTCCTGTATGTGAAAGTACGGTTGAAACTGTGATAACGCATCGCGTTCGGTCGATTCGATCCTAATATGATAGTAACGACAGGTGAAATCATCAAGAATATACGGACGCGTTACATATGAATCTCTTGAACATTGCTCGAACGATTATTAATTACAACGCGTGCATTAATAAGCATAATTTACGCGCGTTCTTTCTTCAATCTGCTATACATAACTTTTCTTATTGAAATCGCTACCCCAGAAAACACATGTCCAAAATCGGAACGTAAAATGTCTCTAAGATTTTTATATATTTATATTTTTTTCTTTTTTTCTCTTTTTTTTTTTTTTCCTTTTTGGTAATGTTGTCTCTTTTAAAAATATATTCATAAAGATAGAATTTTTCTAAGATTATCACGGTTATACCGTTATTTTTATCGATAAATAAAATCATAAATCAAGTTGGTAGTTGTAATTGCATTAGTATGCAGCTCTCGCGCGTTAAAGCTGCACATTCCTAATTCTTATAACGGCACGTCAAAGGAATATAAAATGTTTATCGCTGTAACATTGGTATTCTGTGGTCCTTGACTGAAACGTCATTAACATCGTTCTTTTTGTAGTTTTTGTAAATGCACAGAAAAACCAGTTTCAGATTTAAGAAAAGATACCGGAACTAGCGATACAACGTATATTCCGATGCTTCATATACCGTACTTTTATTAACACTCTTCGAATTCTTACCCATTTGTCGTCTGATCTTGACTTTTCACTTCTTATTTATAAATGTTATCATTCGGGACATTTTTTGGTTTCAGTATTTAATGCCAAAATAAAATATCAACATGTCACCTTCACATTATATAAAGTATAAAAAAAAGAGGTGTTCCGTTCGGCAGTTAAATTCACAAAGGAAAATCTTAGAAATTTCTTAGAAATTATAATGCAAATTCTATATTAGACTCTTTCTCTTTCCAAGATCACGAGCAGGGCGACTATTTCCAAGTCGGTTACCGTGGTGGAGTCCGAGTCGTCCATCGGTCGGTGATGACCGACCGATTCATGCATATATGATACGACAATAGGACCTCGACGGTATCGTTAAAAGTCTAACGTTATACGAGAGGAGTGAGGAATAGCGCGTGCTGACCTTGTTGCATCGACTTCTTTGTTCGCAGAAAACTATCCTGAGCAGCATCACAAATGATGATAACAGTTTCCAGGGTGACGCTTACATTAGCCTGTGCATAATCTACGGCGTGTTCGCAACTTGCAACTGGTTGGCACCATCGTACATCTCGGTGACTGGTCCACGGGTGTCGATACTCACGGGCGCTTGCTGCTACGTCCTCTTCATCGCCTCTTTCTTTTGGCCACACGATGCCCTGCTTTACAGCATGTCCGCCCTCGTCGGGATTGGCGCGGCCCTCATATGGACCGGTCACGGCCAGTATCTGACGGAGAACAGTGACAACGAAACCATGTCGCGGAACGCTGGTATATTCTGGGCGATCTTCCAGACATCTCAGTTTGCCGGCAACCTTTTTGTGTTCTTCATCTTCACGGAGCCCAACATCAACAAGGAGCAACGGACGATCGTGTTCAGCGTGCTGACCAGCCTCGCGGTGCTCGGTACCCTGATATTGCTCGTACTGAGAAAATCACCGCAGAAATTAACGCTGGGCGAAGCCGAGGGGGTGTCCAGTGCCGACAAGGAGCTGCGTCTACCGGAACCGAGGCACGAAAAGCCGCTGCTAACCGCGTGGCATGCCTTCACGGACGCGATCAAGCTTTTCGTCACGCCGAACATGATGTTGCTGTCATTGACGTTCATCTACACGGGTCTCGAGCTCACCTTCTACTCCGGCGTGTATTCTAGCAGTGTTGGCTTCACCACCGCGATGAGCGATAATCCCAAGAAGCTTGTTGGACTGTCCGGTATCTTCATCGGAGTCGGCGAGGTCGCGGGCGGCGCGCTTTTCGGTATACTCGCGTCGAAAATATCTGGATTCTGCAGCGGCTGGCCGGTGGTAATCACCGGTCTGATCGTGCATCTCTTCGCCTTCATCACCATCTTTCTAAATCTGCCGAACGATGCGCCGTTCAAGGATACGAACAATGTGGGCTTTATCACGACCTCGCCGATCCTCGCGATGGCGGGCAGTCTTGCCCTCGGCTTCGGTGATGCCTGCTACAATACGCAGGTCTATTCGCTGCTGGGCGTCCTGTTTGCCAACGAGAGCGCGCCGGCTTTCGCTCTCTTTAAATTCTGCCAATCTGTCGCAGCGGCCGTCAGCTTCTTTTATAGCACCCAGATTGGATTGTATGCGCAACTCGGGGTGTTACTTGTGACCGTTTTTATCGGCACGGGGGCCTTTTGCTTCGTCGAATACAAGACAAAAAGGTCGAAAAACGAGACTCCACGAGACATTGACCCGGCGTTAGTCGATGCTACAAGCGGGGAAGATTGATAAGATAAGTTAAATGCATTTTCTTAGATTGAGAAAACACATGTAAATCCGAAATCGAACATGAATGAGGTGCATGAAGGATCTCAGACGACACTGTGAAAGGCTGCGACAAAAGTGAAGCAAATAACTCGTAATAGCTCGAATGACCGTGAATGCTAATTATTTTAACTCTAGTCTAGATAAGATAGCCTTGTAAAATTAAGTATTACATGACCCACGAGTCCATAATTACTGAAACTTTTTATAATTTTCGAACAAAACGAACAAAACGAACAAAACGAACACGGTTGAAGACATTGACTGTGCAACAACTGCAGACTGTAATAAACTGTTGTAATGTACTCTTATTTTCCGAAATTCTACGCTAGTGTAAAAAAATCTAATGCATCAAGAATATCATTGATTAATGATACAGAAAGAATATCTAGGAATATATTTTCAATCGAATGTATTATCATGTGGTCTTCCAGTTTCTATATATTTCTCAATCTCTACTTTTCGTTTCGTGGTAACTATATCTTAGACATCTCTCTCCTTTAAAACGGTATTTTTATGTATGCGAGTGTGCCAAATGTCTGTATATATATACACCTGTTTATCGGTATCAGTGTTCTCATTATGCAGAAGAATTGCGTCACTCACATGGAATTGAAAAATCTTACTTTAAAGGCGTCGATTTAATCTACTATTATTAGAATGCAAGATTTATATTTCACCAAGCTGATCGATACAATAATGTACCCTATCCTTTTTACTCACAAATTCGAAGGCTGTGCGAGCGTCTTTTGCACTCGTCGCTAGCTCCTTTTTGTGAATTTTAATGTAGATATCTATGAGATCAGATTCGTTTTTAGCAGCGATTCCCACATCAAATTTTGTAATGCACTGCAATTTTTATATTGTGACTAACTAGTCTGTAACACGAGTCCACTAAAAAAAAAAAAACTCCCGTTTAACTAGTCCGTAACGCAGTATACTGACTTTACGTCTGATCGTATGCGTGACGTGTGTGTGTGTGTGTGTGTGTGTGTGTGTGTGTGTGTGTGTGTGTGTGTGTGTGTGTGTGTGTGTGTGTGTATGGGCGCATAACGGCACGTGACATTTACAGCTCGAAACTCGATTGAATTGTCCGAGATCAGACTTAAGGATCTTGTTCCTTCGTTGATTGACATTTGCTGCAAGTGTCGCGACGAACATGTAGATTAACTGTGGCGAGCACACAGGATGCATTAAAAGTCGAATATATTTCTCTCGCATATACAACACCTCGACAAGGTAAATATTAAAGCTGTAGAATGCGAGAGAATTAAAGAGAAATTGAAGAATTGATTGTTAAAGAACTAAAATTTAAAAACCGCATTGAAGTAAAGCTTAATATAAATAAGCTTAGTAATCTGCAGTATGATTTTAATAAAATTTTGAAAGGCCAAAATCTTTTTTATAAAAATCTAATCACGCGACTTTTAAGACATCTTCAATGCGTCTGTAACGTCCATGCATTCTATTTCTTTTTTTCATATTTTATTTGATTATGGACATGTTGGATTTATTTTATAAAGAATAAATTTGAGTAAAAATATAATCAATGATGATCAATTATTCTCTTGATAATCAAAATTCTTATATTGTATCAATGAACATATGTATACAATATCATGGTATTTTTAGAGAAAGATTTAAACGCATTCTTGCCTTCATAATCTTTGCACAGAGAAAGGGGATTTCGTATAGAATTTTCTTGAGCATTATGTTCCATTACATTCCGTAAAATGTGTGTACATTTC